TAAATGAACGGGCAAATATATGTGCATTTTCATACAAAGAACAAGGAATACTATGAAATTAATCTTTAGATATAAAAGACAGACAGAAAACAATCTAGCAAACTATATTTACAGGAAATGTAAGAGATCACAGGAAAATGCTAAGAAGTCGATCATTGTTCAATCACTTAGGATCAACAAATAAAAAGTATAAACCCTGTAAGCCTCACGCGGCATCATGGTAAAGTAATATGTTCAAATCCACAGAAAGGTAATGAGATCACAAGTAAGCATGATTGAAATGCACAGCTGATCATGATCATTTCTGCATATTGTGGTTTTGTATGCAATGACCCTTTCTTTAATTATTCACAACACGTTTTCTTTATTGACTATTATTTACATTTTTTCATTTCCCTTGAACCAACAGGAGGGAACGTGTGATCTGTGGCCTATGAGGAAGCCGCGTCGAAAAGGCCAGGTGGCCGGAGGAGGTGGAGGTGAAGGTGATGTCAAGAAGTCCAACGGGACCGTTGGCGGGCGTGGGGGTGCCCGCCAACGTTCACCGTCCCCTTACAGCCTCAAAGCGTCCCCAAACAGAGACACCCTGACCTATGCCCAGGCCCAGAAGGTGGTTGAGGTGGAACTGGATGGGAGGCTTCACCGCATTTCTATTCTGGAGCCTTTAGAGGTCATCACTGAGGATGAGATGATGGCTCAGGACATTAGTGAGTGTAACAGCAACAAAGAGAACAGCGAGCAGTCATCACCTCCAACCAGTAGTGCCCAAACAGCCCGGAAACCCGTCACACCCCGGGGTCGCAGGAAAGACTCCAAATGTTCCTCTGTCAAGTCGCCTCCCCCTTCAAAGAACCACTGTCCCAATTCTCATCCACAGTCACCTGAAAAGGTAAACACATCCCACCATCACCACATGACCCTTCCTGACCCCAAGTTTCGTGTGCTGGAAACCTTCACACCAGTTGAGGCGCCTCCTCTTCCGGCGGCGTATTACCGTTACATCGAACGCTCAGCTGAGGAGCAGGAAGCTGAGGCAGAGTACGACATGGACGAGGAAGACACTGCCTGGCTAGAGATGGTCAATGCTGGTCGGACATCAGAGGGCTACTCAACCATCTCACCAGACACCTTTGAGCTGCTAGTGGACCGGTTAGAGGAGGAGGCGTACCGGGAAGCCCGTAGCCGGGCGCCCTCTCAAAGCACTATTGACGATGATGCCTTCTGCTGCGTGTGCCTGGATGACGAGTGCCTCAACAGCAACGTCATCCTCTTCTGTGACTCCTGCAACCTGGCTGTGCACCAGGAGTGTTACGGAGTGCCCTATATTCCTGAGGGTCAGTGGCTGTGCCGCTGCTGCCTCCAGTCCCCCCAGAAACCTGTTGACTGTGTTCTATGTCCAAACCGCGGCGGCGCCTTCAAGCAAACGAGTGATGGCCGTTGGGCGCATGTGGTCTGTGCTATATGGATTCCTGAAGTCTGCTTTGCCAACACAGTGTTTCTGGAACCCGTGGAAGGGGTCAAAAACATTCCCCCAGCACGCTGGAAACTGACGTGTTACCTGTGCAAGCAGAAGGGCCGCGGAGCATCTATCCAGTGCCACAAGGCCAACTGCTACACAGCGTTTCATGTCACATGTGCTCAGCGTGCCGGCTTGTTTATGAAAATAGATCCTGTGCGAGAAACAAACGTCAATGGGACTACGTTCTCAGTTAAGAAGACAGCGTTCTGTGAGGCCCATTCTCCACCAGGACAAGAGTCTGTGTCAGACGAGGAGAATGAAGGAAGAGTGGTGGGCAGCAGAGGGAGGGCCAGTAGAGGACGAAGTGCCTACACAGAGGGTCCGACAACACCGAAAAAAGGCAGAAAGTCTGACGACGATGCCAAGACAGATAAAAAGAAAGGGAGAAAGAATGCAGAGTCAACAGCACGACACACTGCTTCACCACAAGTGACTGTGCCTCAGATACCCACAAGCAGGTTAGATCATCTGTTATTTTTAATGAAACGCTGTGCTTCTGTTGAGTCAAAAACAAATGTCTTTTTTTTTTACCAAACATTTTATCTAGATGGTTTTTATCAGATTGCTAACATACAAGATGATTTTTTAAAAGCAGCATTTCAGTGGAGATTCTTTGGTTTACTTCCCAGTTTTAATGAAGCAAGACACTCGCAGCAGTTCCCTTGGAAAGATGTGGTTGATGTCAGCCACGTTGACATTAAAGCAAACCTGCCTCTTTCTCTGTTGTACAGGCTGACTGTCATCTGCAAAGGAATCCTCTTCCAGAGAAAAAACCAGTTCATGCAGAGACTGCACAGTTACTGGTTGCTGAAGCGTCAGTCGAGGAGTGGTGTACCGCTGGTCCGGCGTTTACACTCCAACATCCAGTCCCAAAGGAATACTGAACAGGTCAGGGAGGGGCACAGAGCTGCAGCCTTGGCACTCTGCTGCTATTACGTACTCTGATGATTTACAGCTTTAAGATAGTATTCAGTGTTTATTTTGGCCAGGTGGATTACTAAAAAACAACATTTCTGTCCCAGTGTTTGTACCAGCACTAAAATTTTTTGTTGTGCTTTTAGCCTGAAGTGGATGAGAAGATTTCTGCGGCGAGAGAAGCGCTGAGATATTGGCAGAAGCTACGACACGATCTTGAAAAAGCCAGACTGCTGGTGGAGCTCATCCGCAAGAGGGAGAAACTCAAACGAGAGCAGGTAGCGCACATGAATGAATCATAGGACTGGATGCTTATATTCAAGCTTGTGAAGTAACCGTTCAGAAAAAAGTAGGCAATAAAATGATATGTATATGTATCATACAGGAGGCATTTCCTCGATGCATGGAAGAAAATGTTGAGGTTCGCTTGGATCCAATTTCAGATGTGAACTCGGCTGCATAAACTTAACACCTAGCACGCTGCCTTCCTGCCAGATAATAGTCATGTGACACGCGAACAGCCAATCATTTGCCACGTTGTTGTTGTTGTTCGGGTACACTGTTAGCATGGGATATAGCAACAGAAGCAAAGTGAGAGAATGCGTGCAGATGGAGAGGAAATGCAGCTCACCAGTATGGCAGCTTTTATAGTTCTTACAGTCTGACTAAGACCGAGACGCCACTGTGTGGAAACTCTGCAAGAAAACTGTTGCGTTCGTTTGTGAAGAGAGATTTCTCTGTTGGGGGCTGCATGTGAGGGATGGAGCAGCTCTGTCGCACTCCTGCAGCTCAATGTAACACAGAAAGACTCGGAGATGGAGAGAAGTAGATGTTCAAACATGTGGTTACACTTCATTAGAGTTTCTTGAGTAGTTACCTTTACATACATATCCCCTCGTACCGGTTTACTTTGCTTCTCTTTACGCTGACGTTCTGTAAAAATGTGTGTCTGAATCGTGTCTCGTTCATCACATGCATGTTCTCTTGACACCTGCAGGTTAAAGTCCACCAGGCAGCTCTGGAGATGCAGTTGACCCCGATGTTGGTGCTGCTCCGCTCCACTCTGGACCAGCTGCAGGAGAAGGACACGGCCCAGATCTTTGCACAGCCAGTCAACATCACGGAGGTCAGACATTTGTTGTTTGCTACTGTAGAGGCACACTATATAGTTTTGGTAAGAGGAGGGCCCTCTGGTTCTGGAAATGGTCCCCACTCTGTATTTCCTGTTAATATTTCTTTAATGACATGATAATACCTGTATACTTGGTGTTAATTGAGGATTCCCTGCAATCATGTTTGAAGATAGATTATTAATTAGCAGAATTTATGGCTTACGTTTATTTACCTGTGTGGATGTTCTTCATAAGGCATTTGCGCCTCCTCCCTCACTCAACAATCACACCAAATCTTTTTCATTTTACAAGCTTAACGACTGGATGCAAGGTGTCTTCTACATCACTGAAAGTCCACATGGACTAGTTGTGACTTCACATATCCTCACTGGTCTGCAGTATAACTTTTCTATAACTTTTAGTGGATAGGGACTGTAACAAAGAGACATTCGGCTGTTCAACGTAAGGTAAAATGTTAATTCCACCTGTTTTAATAACTGCCAGGTGTGATAGGGTTGATATATTCATCTTGTGTGTGTCTGTCTCATCATTGCAAATGCACTCATCAGACACCTACTGTAGTGGGAATTACCACAAAGGCAGCACTTTGGCAGGTGTTTATACCGTATGTCTGTCTGTCAGCGTGATGGTGTTAAAACACAATGCAAGATACAGTCACGACAGGTGTGTAGTTAAGATCAAAATGACTCAAAAAGACTTTGGTGTCATGTAGGCAGATATGTTTTGTGGTTTTTGATTTTTGACATCATTTCTAGCGCTTTCACGCAATAATGAAGCAACAAAAACACGTCAGAGCTGAAAACAAGTGGCAGTCAAAGCATGTTAACACCTCAGTTGGTTCAGTTGCACACAAATATACCATACTGTGTGTCACGTCACATTGTCATTGAAAAAACCAGCAGGACTTCTAGAAACGGGGCACCAGAAATAGCTCTGCAATACCATCAGATGAAGGGGAAAAGAAAAATGTTGGAACTGCACAATAGCAATTTTTTAAAACCTCCTCCAAGCAAATTATGTTTTCATTACTGTTTGTCTGTTAGCAAGATTATACAAAGACTGAATTTCATGAAACTTGGTGGAGAGGTGAAACATAAGCACAGGAGAAATATGTTGACGATTCAAATCACTTTCTTAACAATTGCGAGATGGAACATTGGTGAAGATCTGTGCTCTGTGAGTGCAGCTTCATTTATTTAAGGTTTGACTTGAACCAGGCGTCTTCTGCAACAGGAAGGGCTAGAAAAATATCTTGCCAAACTTTTAAACACGATAAGGTCTCAGTGATAGCTTATTGTTTTCAGACTGAAGTATAATTTTAGTTATTCACCTTTAAAAGAAGTGATGCTTGTTAAGTTGTACAGCAGTTTTTCATAAAGTGACAAATTTGTACTTTATTCCCTAGTTTGCATCTGTTCTCGTGATTAATTTTGGAGGTTTGTCTTGTCCTCAGGTTCCAGACTACCTGGAGTTTATCAGTGAGCCAATGGACTTTTCCACCATGTGTTCGAAGCTGGAAGGCCATGCCTACCGCTCAGTGGCTGACCTGGAAGCTGACTTCAACCTAATGGTGTCAAACTGCCTCCTCTACAACGCCAAGGACACAGTCTTCCACCGGGCAGCCCTGCGTCTTCGGGACCTGGGAGGAGCTATACTGCGTCACGCCCAACGACAAGCCACCAACACTGGGCTGGACCTGGACACTGGCATGCACCTTCCAGTGTCACCTCAGAAAAGAGACTTTTACAGTTGCACCTGGGAGGACGGTAAGTCACAGTTGTGGTGCTGTAATTTCACTTGATTAAAAATATAAGATAAGTGACTGCACAGGGCTGCATGGTGTCTCGGTGGTTAGCACCGTTGCCTCGCATTCTGGTGAGGACACCCGGGATCTTTCTGCGTGGAGTCTCCATGTTCTCCCCGTGCAGCGTGGGTTCTCTCTGGGTTCCTCCCACAGTCCAGAAACATGCTGAGGTTAATTGGTGATTGTAAATTGTCCGTAGGTGTGAATGTGAGTGTGCTTGGTTGTCTGTCTCTAAGTGTAGCCCTGTGATAGACTGGTTACCTGTCCAGGTGAACCTGCCTTCACCCTGAGTCAGCTGGGATAGACTCCAGCCCCCCACCACCCTAGTGAGGATTAAGGTGTAGAGATGATGGATGGATGGAAGTGACTGCACAAGTGTTAACCCCGTTCAAGTCAGTGTTTAGTAGAGGTGCTTGTGTTGATGGGTCACAATCAGCCTTGCACGTCTGGACACTGCGATTTTACCCCATTCTTAACCTGCTCAAGCTCTGTCAGGTTCTGTCAGGTTGCACCGGGATCCTTAGTGAACAGCCTTTTTAAAGTCCGGCCACAAATTCTCAACTAGTTTCAGGTCCAGGCTCTGACTCGGCCGCTCCAGAACTTTCATCTTGTTGTCTTTAGACCATTTGTGTAGCTTCGGCTGTATGCTTCACATCGTTGTCTTGCTGGAAAACAAATATTCTACCAAACAGCAGTTCTCCTGCAGACTGCATCAGGTTGTCCTCCAGGGTTCCCCCTATACTTTGCTGCATTCATTTTACCCTGTTGCTTTACAAGCCTTCCAGGGTCCGTACATCCCAGTGCTGCTGCGTGTTTCACAGTGCGGATGCTGTGTGCAGTGTGTGGTGTCCACATACATAGCTCTGATGGCCAAAAAGGAAAATTTGTATTAGAATTTTCAGTAACTCTCCTGAGGAGTCGTAGGTGTCTTGGTGGTCACCCTCACTGGTCTGTTTTTGTACAGTCGCTCAGTTAGTGAGGACTGCATAACCAAGACTTCTCAAGAGGGTAAATGCTTTTTATAGGCACTCTAAATACCAAAGTTAAAGTCACTGAACGCATTTGTTGTACCGTTTATGAAATTTCTGTACCAACTTTACTGTCAGCCTAAATCCTTGTTGGGTTCAGTCGACAGCGTGCTGGATCCAGACAACCGGCTTCACATGACGGTGGAGGAACAGCTGAAGGAGCTGCTGGAGAAGCTGGACTTTGTCACATCCATGCGGTGCAGCGGTGCCAGAACTCGACGCATCCGCCTGCTTCGTCGCGAGATCAACAACATCCGCTTCAGGCAGGGCCACCACTCCCGTCACAGCCTTCACAACGGACATCTTAAAGAAGAGGACGACGACGACGATGATGAGGAGGAGGAGGAGGACAAAGATGCAAAGGCAGATAACGGCCTTTCGGCTTCTGACAAAGGTGGGTGATGAAAAGCACGGACATTTCAACTGTATGAAATTGCCAATGCATGAACCTTTAAAAGCCACTTTTTTCAATGAGACCAGTTGTGAACATGAGCTAACAGAACATTGTCCTCAGGTAATTGAGCCAGGGTCCCCCCCACGCACCAACCCCAACCACCCCACTGTCTCCAGTCTAGTAAGTAGGGGCCCACAGAGTCTCGTTAGCCATGGCTGCCTCACAACTCCTTTCTCCCAGTGCACTCTATGTCTGCACCTCTTCTATACATCACTCTCATGGACTCACCACTCTCCATTGGCCACGTACAGTCATGCCATATCATCCCACTTCTGACGACAGGCTAGTCCAGTCAAACAGCCTTTTCCACGGTAGAGGAATGGCAGCAGGAACACCTGTGATTTGAGCCATAAAAACTGCCATGCCACCATGTTACCGGTGTACAGTTGTGAGAGCAAAGTTTCTTACTCACTTGTCTTGATACGGTCGTCCATATCTCCAGAATACCTCAACGTCCGCTGGGCTGTGGTTAGTGTTAGCTTGAAGTGTAAATCATTACGAAGTGACACCATTTTCCAGTGTGAATACTACACCGCCACATCACACTACATACTAAATGGACATTCATTTACAGTAACTGCTGAGTCAAACTGAATTTCATTTATTTTGTCACCTTTCAGAAGACCTCAAATCCACGTCGCCACCAACACTGGAGCCTACGAGCCTGGCCCCTCCTCCGCGACAAGGGGACGCACCTCTGGAGCCTCCCACCCTGCGGCCAATCACAGGGGAGTCCCAGTCCCCCAGCTGGCCCTGCAAGCGCCTTAAGATGGACGGTGACCTCTTAAACAGTGCCATAGAGAACATTAATTGCACTAAAGCACAGGAGCGGTCAGCGTCCCCAGCCCCCAGTTTGCACAGTGAAGGGCAGGCGGTGACGAACGGCCTGCCGGAGCTCGGTGTCCCCTCGCGGCCCGCCACCGGGGGAGTCGGGCGACGGACCTCCGTGTTGTTTAAAAAGGCGAAAAACGGAGCCAAGCTGTTTAGAGAGAGAGACAACCCTCTGCCGAATGGAAAGGGACCACAGGACGAGAACACGAGCAGCAACCCGACAGCACCCAACTCCACAGCAACCACCCCTTCCTCCACACCTTTATCCACTCCATCCAAGACCTCACAGAAAAGCCCAGGACCCCCCACCCTCAGCGAACTCTCCAACCCAGATAGTGAGCTGGAGAGGAAACCAAATTATACACTGGAAACTGGTAAGAGGAGAGTTAGTTACTGACATCAGACACAAGTTTAGCCCAAGTTTAAGGGTTTCTGGTCAGAGATGTATTTTAGGAACAGCTCCTCAGTGCACTGAAGACGTTCTCACATCCTGTTTGGATTGTGCTAACTGCACATGTGTTATTAGCTACCATTTGATTTGGAGCAGCAATGCTCCAGATACTGAAATGTGAGTGGTTATGGTGCAGTAACAGATGGTGCACCGAGTTATGTGAAGTTCAGCTACCTTCTTGCAAACATTCTCTAATTTGTACTAATTCATTTGTTTGCATCGCTTCAGTTTAGCAAGCTAATCCAAATTGTGTATTTTACAACATGTCAGACTTAAATTTGCAGTAATCATACATTTTTTGAGTACGGTTGTGGGAATAAACAAAGCTTTTCCCGCTATTAGATTGCAGCATAGGAGCTTGTTTACTCCAGGCTACTGCTCCAAAACACCTGTTGTGTTGTTTTATTTGTGATTGAGACCAGACCAAACACAACTGTTGCTTCGATGTCCTCTGTTCTGTCTTGATGTCATCCTGCTCTTGTTATTTTAACAGCAGCTCTTCTGTGATTTCCCTCTTTTGCTTTCAGGACTGACCAACGGCTTCAACAAGCACAAAGACGGCGGGTCCGAGTCGGAGTACAGCCCTTGCCCAGTCCTCCACAAAGAAATGTGAGACATTTACAGTCATAGAAAAAA